TCTTCCCTATCAGTAACTCATAATGAGTTGCGGCCAGCCGCCTACCTTGCTGTATTTGCCCATGGCCAGACCAGTGAGGTCACACAGCAGAGAGCACAGGTGCTCTTCAAACAGGCTGGCATCAGTCAGGTTTTCTCCTGTCAGGTTCACAAACTGGTGGGCGTAAACCACCTGGCCTGGAGTGGAAAAACAGGTAAAAACAAACTTATGTGTGTTATTATGAGGGAGTAGAACGCCAAATTAGATATGACTGCTCAAAGTGACAGCACTAACTTCAGTAACTTCAACATGATCATTCTTTGTCCAAAATTTAACAAACCTTGCATTTTGAGGCCAAGCATATGAAGAATTTCAAGTATAGACCAATGAATATCAAGATGAAGGTGCAACAAATGCCAAGAGGGAGGATTGATCTTCAAGAAAGTACAGAAGATTTGCGTTTTGGAAATAATATAAAAGTATAGATTATATTAATTGCAAATTAAGTGGTCAAAGACAAGTGCTTTCTAGTTGGAATACCTTTCCATGGTTCTGTATGGTGAAGGCACTTTGTATGTTGGCTGGGAGGTCTTTGAGACGTCCTATGAGGAGTGTGACTCCTAAAAGTTCTTCAAGGAGAACGGAAGGGAACTGCACCTCCAACTCTTCAAAAGGGTGAGAAGATCCTCCATCAAGAACACTAGAGGGTATTAGATATCTAACCGAAAAGAAGATGTTCAACTCAATGAAACACATTATGTTAAAATTGACAATTGTACAATAATTGTAGAAGAGTCTCACCTATGCAAATATACTTTGATATACTGGAGAAATGTTACACATTGTAGTTTTATGTCTTCTGCCTCATAGTGGAGACTTCCAACTTGACCTAAACATATTTGGTTAACTTGTTAGTATATATTTCAGCCCTAGTTACACAAATCATTAAACCTACCAAAATCCCGAGAGCTGGACTGCACTAAAGTCTCTAGCTTGTAAATCTTTTGTCTGAGGGATAAAATACAATGTTGTATAATTGCTGTTGTTAAAATATTATGATTGTTTATCATAGCATTGATTGAAATTATACATGCATAGGTAATACCTAAAAAGGCCAAATAGAAGCTTTGTTGATTCTACAAGAGCCATCTCTGTGACCCAGGGAAAACCAAATATCTCAACAATGTCTGTCTCATATTCTGAAGGTGCAGGGTCCAGGCGCAGCAAAAGCCTAATGGAATATAACATTGTATTATTACGATATCCCTTTTGGTGACTAATGTTCAAACTGAAAATATGATGAAAATTACCTCTTCAACGCGCCTCTAGCAATGTATCCATCAGCGGGGAGCGTCCCTGCTGGTTCCTCTTTGGACTCTGCACAGCAAAAGCATGGTGGTTGTGATGGGGGGAGCTCACACAGGCTGTCCGCGGCGAAGGGGGACACCGGTGGGGTCAAGGATTGACTAAAGTTGTCGGCCATGGTCTTCGATTTTCTTGTTATTCAAAACAAATGGATGAATTACCAAGTGGAAAGCAAATCGAGATGAACAATACATAATTCTGCTAAAGAAGACATAACAATAATGAACAATAACTTTGTTGCATAATACGCGTAATTAAATATCCAATTCTCCTCGCCTTACTATGATAAAGTGGCCCACAGTGCAAAAAAAATAGTTCGTGCGATGACATCTATTTTCTTGTGTTGATGCGTTTCTCCCGCGTATTCTGTGAACACTTCCTGAATCGCGCTGATTGGCTCAAAGTTTCGGAAGAGGTGTGGCTTGATTCTTGCCCCTTAAAGGCATAAAAAAGAGAAAGAAACGCGTAAAGGATATTATCGTATTTGCATATTTACATTTTTTTAACCCAAATGTGGTCATACTTTTCAGTGTTGTCTTCTCATCATCCCCGTACATGTGACCGTCCATCTTTGAAACATTTGCTTTAATTGCATTTCAGTGACATTTTCAACGCTAGTATTATAGCAGTATATTTTACAGAGACTATCCCTAATTTCCATATGCAGATCGGTCTCCCTCTCGCCGTCGCACCATTTCTTGCATTCTAATGTATTCTCACATCTTTACAAAATCCCTCTTCCGCCACACGCCGTGGATCTGCTCTTTTTGCCGCCTCTGTAGCGTTATTTTTGCATGTTTGTCTCTGTTCTCCGGGTGACGAAATATATTAAACCAGCGTGGCGTTTCTACATGTGCCACGTTTTGATCCTTGGAATCAGTGGAGACAAAAAAGAAAAAGGTGGAAGCATCGGGACGTATTCTAATTCTCTGCTTCTGGATGCATCGCTTGACGTCTTCCTCCGCTTTTGCCAGAACAAGTGACCGACCAGTCCCAGGATTCGGAAGGTAAGGACTGGTATGGGTTTAAACACCGTATGCTTAAGATGTTGCAGACTGGTTATGGTCTATTCACTGTGGTGGGCTTGACATGCGGCTTCATCATGTGCCCCTCCACATCCCCCCGCCCTCTGTATTGCCATCAGCTATCGCCTCCATTAGTTGTTTAGCCAATGGATAAACTTGCCAACTCGCAGTCATAACAACATACATATGGTTACAGTACTGAGAACGGTTGTTGTGCAATACTTGTATCCTGAAAAACTCTTTTTTTTCCTGCAGCAGCACCTGTTGAAGGGGTTGGAAAAAGAAAAGTTGATTTGAGCCAAGTCTATGAGCAAACAGAATTACAATATGCCACTATAATATAATTTTCCATGCTTATTTTGGGTATTGAACACATTTTTATGTTTCAAAATATGTTGGCTGTCCGAAATGAGTGCCCTAAATGTCTCCATTGTGAGATCAGTAGTGTATTTTTTAACGTTTTGAAGCTCTACAGTATGTGTCAGGGTTTGTAGATTTCATTGATTTTGAGCCATGAAACCTTTTTTCCCCAAGTCAAACATTTGAAAGACAGGTCCCGTGTATTTGGTGAAGTCTCATAAGAAAGATGTATATAGACACAATGCGCGTGTTATTTTATTGGTTTAGTTTTATTTTACATGTTTGAATGTTAACAGGTGCTCATCACTTTTGCACACACTCATAACCCATGTGTGACATTCAATTCAATTTAATTCTTCTTAATTCTGAGTTACTTTAAAAAGGATTATATTTTGTAGATATACTCCCAACACTGGATGCAACAGAGCTGTTGGAGTGGACAAACACACACTCAAACTGCTGCCCTGAGGCATTATGCTCAGTCTCAAACATGTGTTTCTTTGTCACAAACTTGCACATTATATTACAAATCAGACCATAACTATTCAAGTTAAAGTATGATTTACTAACAGAAAGACAGACAAAAAGTCAATGGCACATGCCTGGAACTCCTCCCCAGGGTTGCAGAATAGTTAAGTTAACACAACGCGGTATTTGTTGTGTAATTTGTATTCCTAAATAGTATATTATGTAAACTGTCTATTAATGGACAAATGTAGAAATATATATTAATACAAATTTAATTATAAATTAAACTTAATATCATCATGTATCATAACGGTGCCAAAAATTGATATAAAGATTGCGATGTAGATGTTACAATATGTAATGTCAAACCTTTGTACAGTACATGAAAGTAAGAATGATTAAGTCTTTGTTTTTTATGTAAGCTCAGTTCAGCGTGACCTTCTGGAATGCCCCATGAGCTGTTAAGGCTATGTTACACCACACAACACTATTATCCACCTATTAAGCTTGACCTCCAAACATGCATTTACAAGTTTTGTGGGAGCAATTTTAAAGCTCTCACTGCTAAAATAATGTTATCCAGTGACCGACAGTGTGACCTCCGGAAATCCGGTATGATAACATTTCACCATTAACTCCTCTCGTAGGAGTATAGTTGGAAAGCCCATAATGACTTTGCATAATGAGTTGAGCACATTCTGCTTCTACATTGGGTCTAGTTTCTAAAAGATCTGTGCATTGTACAGGGCAGTGAGCTAGTTCCTTTTATCTCCAGAAAAAACCCTTGTGGCCACAGTTTGATCAATTAAACTCCTGAAAGAGTGCCCCTTTCATTCGTCTGCCTGAGAGGAATATAAAGTTATCAGTCTTCCGGAGCGATATGAGGACAGAAATAAGTAGTTTGTCTATAAAAACGTCCAGGTACTTTATCAGCAGCCCGGTAAGCCCCAGGGCTCAGTTCAATGTGGCTGCTGTTCTCCCCTGCTCCTCTGCTGGTGTCTGCCTGCTCTGCCCCAGGCTGGCCTCTCGCTGGGTGGGTGCGCTGCTGCGAGCCCTGCACCTCTGTGGGATTGACAGGGTTCGAACCCCAAGGGAGGGCATTGATTTTTATCAGCTGTTTAGGAGAGCGCTGTTATGATGCAGAGTTTAAATTGCGTTTTTGCCTTTGTTTTTCGTTGAAGTCAAACTTGTAAAAAGTTCTTATAAGAGACTACATTTTGTGAGCAAACTGAAACCTATTCAAAATATGTACCTTTCCCCTAATCTACATATTAGATTAGTTATTATTATTTTATAATCCTGAGTAATTATTATCATAACATTTACTGATGAACTCAAACTTTCAGTGACAGTGTTTTTAAACAGTGGTAGAACGGAGTGTCTGTCCTCTGAGCTCAGGGTGAATGGTCTGAATCCTGCTCCATAAACATCATTGGTTGAGGAGTTTGGCGGGTGATCGGTTGTTGAGTGTCCATGGGCAAGACACTTAACTCGCCTCGCCTCTAGTGTCTGTGTTCTCTGTTGTATCAATGTATGTGTGAAGGGTTCCTTGATGTGAAGCGCTTTGTGGAATTTTTTTTTGGTCCTTTTTGTGAAATTTATTTTTGCGTGATGTGGCTGTCTAACTAACAAACACATTCTGGTGAACAAAATACCCCTCTATGGGTGTGGAGGTAATAAATAAACCGGAAATAAAACATGCAATGTATGGTGAGACGGGGCAGGATGAATTAGGATGGTTTGATATTGATATGTTAAAATCCATGGTTAAATTTAGAAATGTCCCTGTTTCCCTTTAAGCACAGACAATTTACTAACAGTGTGGAGTTTTAAACTGTTGCATTTTCTTTTGAGTTTTTATTCAAAGACTTGGCACAGCCTAGAGAGGTCTATTGGGCTGTGCCAATTCTGAGTTTCATTTATTAAATATCAATATAATACCCAGTACATTAGCGAAACGTCTTTGCATTTTTAAGGATGCAGACATTTTTAAGACAGACACAAACAAATGCAATAGTATTTGTTTGGCAGTGTTTGAGTTGACGACATGACTTGAAAAGAGTTACTGATAAAGTTGTTTCACTCAGTTAAAGAGGGAAGTTAGTTCACCCAACGTGAGCACTCTGCTGCCTCTTTACTCTCTGAAGCATTTGCATCAAGGCCAGGAGATTAAACGAGTGGGTTGGGAACTGGAGGGAGTGTGTTGTCTCGCTTGGGGCCCCGATGCCAGAGTTCTAGCTTTCATCGCGTTGGGTGAAAGATTTCTCCTGGACGTTTCACTCACTACAGGTGGGTGGTTCACTTGCTGTAGGTGGCAGCCACTGTGGATTTCATGCAAAAGTACAGAGGAGGTGGCTGTGGGCAAATTGTTTCACAGTTGCTGATGCTCGATAGGGAGACTGCTGTGTTGCACACTCCACTCCACTCATTTGTGCATTCAGATGGCGCTTGGAGTGTTATGTTAATATTGAAAATCGTAGGTGTTTGTTTTTCATAGATTGGTATTTTTGTGCAAGTTTTGAAGTGTTCTTTATAAAGAACTAATGGAAAAAAGTATCTATTGGGACCTGCCTAATCTGCCAAATTAGTCGCTGTTGCAGTCCAAGTTAAACAATAAACTAAACAAACTCTATAAACTAAACAATGATCTATTTGCTTATAGTACTCTAAAAGATGTCTGCAGGTCCTCCAGCCTTTCATATACTCACTTTCAGGGGTTCTGTTTTTATTTCCAAAAATAACTGGGATGTGTGCCTTGTTTGAAGATTGTCAAACATTCCAAGCAAAACAACAACAGATCCTCACAAGTATACAGTGGGTTGCAAAAGTCAAAAGCCAATACAGTTCTTGAATTTTAGCAAATTTTCTCATAATTAAGACTACAAACCAAGACCTTAACAGAGTAAGAAACAACTGTGAAGTGAAAGCAAAACAATATATGATTTAGTTTTTTACAAAATGCACCATGTGGCTTGCAAATGTATTCAGCCTCTTTTTTGCAAACCTATTGCATTAAGAAGTTCGCTGATGACTTATATTTACTATACTATATTTATCCTATGACATCCTCATGTTGTTGCTAAACAGCATCATGAAGTCCAGGAACCCATCAGAGGTCAGGGAAGAAGTTTTGGAGAGGTTCAATGCAGCATGTTTAAGTTATACAAAGATCTCCCAAGCTTTGAAATGCAAATCAAGACATGGCCAAACTTACAGCCCAAACAGAGACAGTACTGATCAGAGATACAGAAAAGAGGCCAGTAGA